CTGGGGCTTCATGTTCAGTAACATGTAGGGGCCGATTATTCGATAACATTCGCTTTATCCAATTGCTGCACCCCTTTTTTAGTATCCCGAACCCTAAACCCTAGACCCTAAAAACCTTCAAAGTGACAAGCTCTTATCGCGGGCCAGCCCACTGGCCGCCGGGATGCACGCGAGCCATAGGTGCGAAGAGAAGAGAGCTCAGGTGTGTATATGGCACTATAGGCCCTTCTAAGGGGTTATACGGGATATGTAGTGTTTAGGGTATAGGGGCCTCAATAATTCATTTTCCATTGCTTCAATAATGGAGAAATGGAAAAGAAACTGCAAACTGAAATGGAATCTGAGGATTATGTAAGGATGTATAGGGGAGACCAATCCTGCAGAATCTTTTAGACCTAGATTTCTATATAGGTGTAAACGTCAACCCCACAAACCTTGCAGTCAAAATGCTGAACCCCCGCCTCTGGGTTTTAGGCCTTACGGCTTTAGGACGGTGTGCTACGCAATCAGCAGCTTCACGTCTCTACCCCCCGCAACATACAACTCTACGTGATTGTGTTGCTGCTGGCTCTGCGGCGGCTGTGCTTGCTGCTGCAAAAACGCTACCATTCCCCTGCCCCACCCCCCCAAACATACAACTCTACGTAATTGTGTTGCTGCTGGCTCTGCGGCGATGTGCTTGCTGCTGCAGAGACGCTACCATTCCCCCCCCCACCCCCCCCAAACCCCCCCAACGTACGACTCTAATGAGTTGTGTTGCTGCGGGCTGTGCGGCGGCTGTGGTTACTGCTGCCGAAAACGCTGAAAACACCAGGCGCCCAGTGGTGCGCAGTGGTAACTATAACTACTACTACTACTACTACTACTACTACTACTCCTACTCTACTACTACTACTACTACTACTACTACTACTACTACTACTCTACTACTACTACTACTACTACTACTAGAATAGAAGCTACTATAGTACGCGAAAGAGCCTGCAGAACCAAAAAAGAAGAAGCACAAGAATGAGCTGTAAGCTACTTAGGGTTCTACTACACATAAAGTGCTACAAATACTTCCGAAGAAAGTAGGAGAAAACCCCCGGCACCTCCACCTCCTGTTGTGAGTCCCCTGCAGCACGGGCGGCCTGCGGCACTGCAAATGCTTGCAAAATCTCTCCCTAGCTTTGAAGTGCATGCTGGAAACATATTTGGTTTGGGCTTGGGGTAAATCTCAACAAATGTGTAAAGGACCGGATGAATAATGAAGCCTTCAAAGAGATCATATGCCTTACAGCAACTCACCCACGGTTCTGTCCGGGAGAACTCATCTTGCACGTTTTGTGAGAGGGTTGCAATTCGATGGACACATGGTGACTTACCAAGCTTCTCTTCATCCCAATCAAGGGCTCAGTGTCTTGATGATCCATTTTCGCACGTGCGTTGGCATCCTGAAGGGAACTCAGGGTTTTCTTTGCTTGCACTGCTTCAAACAAGGCCTCGCTTGCTGAAACATATGGGCACCTGCCAGCCATAAACTATGTGCTCGCCAGCAAGTATCAAATGTGGATCTTTCAAATTGCAAGAGTGGATACTCCTGTTATAGGAGCATCAAAACTGTCACCACTTCTGGGTGTTATAGGAGGCAGCTGGCCGAAGATAAAGGAGCTAGCGCTCTTGTACTCCATGCCATGCCGCACCCCGAGGCTTGGACCCCAGCGGGTGTTTCCAAAAATCGGGGACCCCTCAGAAATGTACCTAAGAATTGGATGTTGCTCTGAGGCAAGCGCTCCAATTGGGGTACACCGATTTCCAACACCCCAGGATGGTTCAAGCAAAGGTCTCCCTTACTTTACAAGGGTTGGAACACGGAATAACGGCACCCTGCTTCTTTTACATTACGGGTCCCTCAGCCCTAAGCAGACCTAAGCCCTAAACAGACCTAAACCTCTGGGAGACTTCTTCATCCCCATCTGATCGTAGGCGCCCTTCACTCTAGCTCTGCAGCCTCAGTTTGGGTGGCTTGCTTACGGATGCCGAAGAAGCGCTCCACGTTGAAGATGTGGGACTTGGGCTTCTCGACGGTCTCCTCACTGTTGTAGAAGTCATTGAACTGCTGCATGAAGTCATTGATATTCTCACGGCCGGTCTTCTGGAGACGGCTGGGTGGAGATCCGGTGATCCACAGGTAGATAGCCTCAGGCCAAGAGAGTTTCAGGGCCCTCTTGGCGATCCAAGGGTTCAGCGGTCCAAGACCAGAGACAAACGCGAACACTGACATGGCAAGGATCGCTGCCACGAACTGGCCCGCAATGTAGAGGCCTGCCACGTCTTTGCCACACTGAAAGACGGCCATTGGACCCAACACGCGTGCCGGGTTGAGGGCTGCGCCGGTGTATTGTCCACCAGAGCCTGCGCAAGCCAACAAGGCGAGGCCCACAGCGAAGGGTGTGTGGCTGCCGTGGCCAGGCTTTGCCACGCCGCAGGCGTAGACGCAGGAGATGAGGGTGAAAGTCATGACACACTCCCAGCCGAAGACTTGATCGTCCGTGACGTCCTTGATCACGCTGCGGTCGAAGCATCCTGGGCCCGTGGCCCCAGTGCCAATCATGTTGCCGGCTCCAGGTACCAACCCAGCAGAGACCCAGGCCCCTACAATGGCGCCGATGATCTGAAGGGCAATGTAAATCACGGTGTGGATCACGGGGTAGAAGCCGCAGACGGCGGTGCTGAAGCTCACCGCAGGGTTCAGGTGACCACCGCTGATATTGGCTGCAACATAGATCCACACAGCCAAAGCGAAGCCGTTCACAAAAGGGGCGTACTTTGGAGCAGAGGTGCCTCCAAGGATCTGAAAAAACATCACACCCACAAACTCCACGGCCAAGGAGACAGCGAACTGACGCGAAAACACTGACTTGTAGTTGGCGAAGACGCTGTCTTTGTCCACCGTGTCACCGCCCGCTACCATGGTTGAAGGCTTCAAGCACTGGGCTGGGTGTTACAGGGAGCCTTGATAAGTCAACTTGACCAAAAATTGTGATACATTCCTGCTAGTGTCAAACATTGAGCAAGGAGGGAATTAGAGGCCCAGGCTGTCGTACATATCTCAAGGGTCTGAAAGTGGATTGCGTAGGCTTCAATTCTGAACTTCATCGGACTCTTAGTGTTGTAACGTATCGCCCCTGCTCGCCCAAGACCTCACTCTCCTAGTAGTATCTCCATACACTCCCCAATAAGGGTTCGTGTCGCCCGTTCCCCGTCATGTAACCGACGTCCCCTGGACCAGGCCTGTTTAGCCTTGAGCTCTTGCAGGAGGTTTTCGTAATCACCTTTCTTCCCAGCCGACGGCCTTGGCGCAGCAGGAACCTGCTTTTCTCAAGCATTCGATAATAAAATCCTTCTGTTTCCCTCAGAGTCTGTCTCTTTCCTTTCTTTCTTTCATGCGGGCTATGGACTGCCCCCGAGAGGGCAGCCCGGGCTCCTGCCCAGCCCGTGTTGGGCTTCGCTGATTGAAACCACCCCTCGTCGTCACTTGATACTGGTTATGCTATAATGAGGGTAAACCAGACTCTCTCTTTCTCTCTATGTCTCTCTGTGTCTGCATGGAACCGCGGGATAGCATTAGTGAATGAACCAGGAAGTGCGCTGTGCACGCTCATGGCGTCCCATCATCGAGATCCTACTGCCTGTGGGGCAAGGCCTATCGGCTGGACCCTTGCAAACATTCCGAAACTTGATAAGGAGGACGTCATGTCGCCAACATACCACTCACATGCACACAGTCCCACCACCGGCATGATAAGAGGACATGCTGGGCTTCCTGCTCGGGGCTTTCTTCGCGACCTGCAATTCTGCTTTCGTCGAACACAGGCAGCATGTCGGATCTGGAGCCCAAAAGAAGAACATGCTGAGGGTATGAAGTGGTACCATTCCAAGTCCGGCCCAGAAGATGGCAAAAATTGCGATTTGTTGGCGCACATCCCCAACGCCTGAGCACCTTTTCCCACGCACTACAAAACTTCTCGGCATTCTTCCTGTGCCTCCCAGAAAATACAGAGCGAATGGGCTTGCCAAAGAAACTAGGTTCTCAGATCCAATGTTGGCAAAACATGGGATTGGCCGCAAAGCAACCTTCAGAACAAAATGCTGGGATTTAAGCCAAACCCATTCACATTACAGGTGGGTCCATGCTTCCACCAAAGCCCTGAACCCAAGGCTTCCCAAACAAAGAGGCCAGGCTGCTGGCAAGCCACTGAGTTCTGAAAAGGATGGGGTTTTATTGTCTGGTATTTTCTACAACAATACATCCACATGGGCTTATGACCCTAGTTGCGCGACACTTCTGCACAGCCATGACAATGTAAGCATGCATCTGTTGCGCACTTCAGGGGCTTGGGCTGTCCATCATGGCATCTATATAGTTGCGTTCACAATCTGAGGCGACAAGCGATGTGGGGAAAATCCTCAACCAAGTTCGGTGGCCGGCCTACACTTACACCTGATTGCGCCGCCGCTGCTGCGGCAGCCGCAGCGTAGTAGGCGCTGCCATAGCCGTAGGCCGCAGCGTAACCTGAAGTCTCCCCTCAAGCATTCCGATACTTGCCGCATGTGGCTTCCTTCTACTCGTCGCTGACCCCGGGCAGAAGACGATGGCTTCTAGCATCTCGGTGCCCTAAAACAAACCAACACACAAGGATCCTTGGAGAACAACCTCAATAACAAGAAACAGCTGAAACTTCTTCAGCAAATCCAGGGTGCTGTAGGCAGCCGGCAGCGAATAGGGGCTCGCTTGCGTGGCAGGCCACTGATAGCCATACCTCATGACTTAGTGTCAACACTCTGCATCTGCATCCCGGTGTATCTTCCAGCAAGCATCCTCTAATCAGGGGGCTCCAGGAAATCTCATGAAGACAACAAGACAACTGGTAGCCGCAAGGAGCAAGCGCTCATCAACAAGCTAAATGAGGATCAAAGCAAAGCCCGATTGCCAAGCAGCCTCTGCTAAGGAGCATGCAAAGTCCAAGCTCTGGTGAGCTTTGTCCCTGAGGCTACGTGTGTGCTACGAGCTCTTCCAAGGCACCCGGGGAAGGAGTACCCTGCAGCAGCATAGTTGTAGTTGTAGCTACCTGCTTGCAGGGCTTGGCCGGGGTGCGTTTATCATGCAAAAAGACAAAGGAGGTTTGGCCTTGCAAAATGCCTTAAACCTCAGTTCCATCCCTCTTTCCAACCACGCGGGCCTCCGCCTGACTCATCCACCTTTTGCCTCTTTTCAGCTCTGGAAGACCGTGAACTCATGCCCGGCCGTCCCGACTCTCCTGCACTCAGATGCCCAGTGCTTGGTGCTTGGGCCTGGTCATCACATACACTTCGGGCCAACCAGCATAATTTCTGGATAGCTGCTGGGCTACGTGCAAGACAGCTGTGCGAGAAATACCTCCGCGTTGTCGCACTGCGATGTTTCCACCACACGCTGCATGAGCGTATACGACAAAGTGGAATACTTCATGTAGGCGGCACCGTACAACGCACACACGCAGAGGTATACATAAAGAGATTCCCAACTAATTACTTACAAGCACAGCATTTGAAGCTGCTCCGCCCCGGTCCTCAGTAGTAACGTCCACCATGGGACGGCATTCCAGCAAAGGCTCCAGCGAACCGGCACTGGTCACGTCTGCAGTCTCCCGCCACCATGCAGCGGGGCTCGCACTGGAAAAGACGGTCAGCAAGCAGCACCCCCAAAGGAGTGGGAGTTGTTTCCGCAGGAGGGAAGGTCCGCAAGTCAGAATGCACAAGACCCAGACCCTGCATATACCACACACACCACGCCTCTGAGTGCTTTTTCCTAGGTCTATACCTTTAATTACATGCCAGGCACAAGCGTACCCCGATATCAGGCGTTAGCCCTTGAATGGTGCTCTTTCGGGCGAAACAAAAACAAAACGAAAATGATCGTCTTGTGGGAATCCCTCAAAAGAGCACCTTGAACCCTCCAAACTCCAGAACAACCCCACAAATCCCTGAAATCCAGGAAGAATCATCAAACAAACAACGACCAGCAGTACATACACATACACCTGTGCTACATCTATGCATCATTGAAGCTCCCTTCAAGTTGGCGAGGTCATGATTCAAAATAGAACCGTTGTGATACGGTGTGCATCGCATCGAGGGGGTTGGCGGCAGTGTGTATAGGTTTACTCATTTAATAAAAAGGCCGAAATGCCAATTTGTCGGCTTTTTCGACTCCAACTACGGGACCCAAAAAAAAATCTGGTGCTTGTGTAGGAAACCCAGCATCCGAACCACAAATCCTATACCCTTCACGGAGAACTGACATGCACACACACGCACACACACCACTATACACACTGCCCAGATTGCTGGGCCGCCGTGCGAAAGCAGCCGCTGAATATGTACCAGCCTACAGGATGACTTTAGGTCTGGGATTTAAGGATGAAGGGTTAATAATAAGAATATTAGTAATAGAAATAGCAGTGGATTTGACGATAAGGGGTTCGTGCTTAGAAGATGCCGCCTGCTGTTGTAGGCAGACACGAAGAACTGTGGACAGTTCAAGCTTGTGTCCAGGCCGCATATTTCTGGGGATGGTCGCGGCATAGTTTATTTGACTGGAAGTTCGGGTGCAGCTCAAGGCTACAAAGCGGTTCGCCCGAGGTTGGTGTCTAGCAAGATCTGCCCGTCTTGGAACATGCAATCGTATGGCGCAGGTGCAGAGATCAATCTCACAAATCATGCATGCAGTCCTGCCCAACCAACCAAAATATGTAAGTGCCGCCCCTGTGCCACTACATCCGCTTCATGATAGTCCCCTATCTAACCCCCTAAATAACCCCCTGCACCCTGAATCCCAAATCGTTTATAACGCCCCTTTAAGGAGTTTAGAGTATAGCTCATATTATGCCGTTTTTCTATCTTGAACTCTGCTTCTCTTCCAGCAGAACCCAGGTTCAGCTTGGGCTGCGAACCGCCAGCGGGGCCATGGCCACAACAAGAGAGCAATTCTCTGTGAGTTGTTGATAATAAATACTAGCAACAATGGTAATACTAACAGTAGTAATACTGAAAAGAAACTACCGATAAACATAAGAATAAGAAAAATGAAAGTGAGAATAGTAGTAATAGTAATAAGAATAATGATAATAAAAAGTAATAGCGATAGTTACAATAATAGTAAGGTAATAGTGAGAGTAGCAATAATTGAAATCATAATAGTAATAGTTATAGTTATAGTTCTGATAATCTTAGTAGTATTAATAGTACTGTGAGCTGCTGCTTTAAGCAGATAGTCCACGCAGTAAAGCAACAGTGGGCAGGGCGCTAGCAGCCGTGCAATCATGGTGGCAACTGGCAACCTCGCAGGCAGGTTACCCCGTACAAGAACTTGATGCTCATGCTACAGTACTAAAAGCAATGGTTAGCAGTTATAATAACAGCAATACCGTAGCAATAACAATAGTAATAATTAGTAGTAATAATAGCAGTAATAATAGTAATGACAAGAGTAGTAATATTCATAACCCTTGAGTTAAAAGCAGGGCACAGTCCTGGTGATGTGTCGCACAAGATCTCCCCCCGAGATGTCCCTAGCTCGGGCCGGGAAACTGACCGACAACCTCTGCAACCCAATAACATCTTCAAATGGAAACCAAGCCGCTGCAGCAACCTCTTTTAGGTATCCCACGCATGTTGTCGGGCAGCTCGAGCGCGCCTCAAGACTGCAGACTCCGGAGCATGGAGAGTGGCCCGGCGTGAAAGGTCGTCTGGGAAGTTGTGGCCACAGGAGGACTTCGTCTCTCCAACATTTTTCTGGCCTCTTCATGCCCTCCAAGGCCTAGCAAACGTCCTTGAACAAATGCCTCACCGGCCAAAAAGTCCTCAGGTGCGGAAGATTCGGCCCATGCCGCCTTGCAAAGCCTCGTAGGAGAAGCCATCCTGTCACACGGAACTTGAACACACCAGCTCAACGAAAGACTTCACTTCAGGCCCCGGGAAGTTGTAGACTACTTGCTGGCGAACATGCTTACGTCACAGCAGCCAGCAGCGAGCAGTCAGCAAGCCCTGGAATTTGCCTGGAGGTGCTGGTAGGGGTCGAAGCTCAGAAGCCGGGGATCTGGATGGGGCTTCCCCACTGCCACCAAGTAGAGAACCTGCAACACGAAGACCCCCACAACTAATCACGCTTCGCCCCCAAGAAACTTCGAGGAGATCCAGAACAACACTTGTTCGTCCCATTCAGAATTAAAAATGGAAACTACTATGCAACATACCAGTTGCCAGCGACTCCTCCAGTTTTTCATCTCTGCGAAGGGAACTGCTGAGTTTGTCCTTCTGACTCAATGACAGGGGGACTCTCGTGGTGTATCCAACCTTCAGGAGTTGCTATTCTGCGCAACCGATACCCTGCCTCTCTGCCGTCCCTGAGATCAAGATTCGTATCACTTTTTTTCCCATCTGCATTGGCCCAACGGCAAGGACCCAACATTTGGAGCAGAGCTGTTGTGAGTCAGCGAGACATGCAGCACCCTCTCCCCTGCACCCTCTCCGAAAAGAGGATCCTCTAGACAGGATATTGCAAGATTCCGCTTTGTTATCATGCTCAACTTTTGTCATCCTGAGGTTCAAGCTCCTGCCCAAGCCTCAGTAGTTCATTTAGTTCCCTTGTGCTTCAACCTCACAAAACACCCCGTCTTGGGGCGTAGGGATGATAAGGGAGCACTACGCGTCTTTTTCTTGTTGCCATCACACCCAATCGAAGTACCTGATCTTTTGACCAGGACAGAACTTCTGCAGGTCCTCTTTGATGTTCTTCCGCATGGCCTGGAACAGAGAGAACTTCAACAGAAGTTCTATGATACACATTGCCTTCATTGCCTCTTCCTGTCTGGGGTGGGGTAACCTCAGCTCCCTGGCTTAGCCTTGACCTTGCTATCGTGGTTCCTCTTTGCATTTGCAGAACTCTCCACACATGTTCCCACTCAGTTCCCGCAGTATCGAGTGGAGTGCTGTAATTGGCAAGATTACCCCTGGCAGCGAAACAGGCCTCATGATATCGAATTTGGAGCTGGAGCCAAACCCGCCAAAAAATGACGGCTGCAAAGAGTCTTGGACAAAGATGAATGGTCAATGACAATGATGTAAGGCCCAACAATCCAAGACCTTTGGTTCTGTGAGAAGGAACTTCAAATTGTCCTAAGCCGAAACCCTGGAGCCGAGTAGCGATTTGCTTGCTGTCCGGTGTGAATCCGTGGCGCTCCTTTGCGGGTTATCAAGGTTGCTTTCTGGCTCCGCTTCCTGGAATCTACAACACCAAGTTTTTTTTGGATTTGAGCAGTTTTTAACCCTGGAGCCATGATAGAGGCCGTATGTTCAATGCACACTACGTCACCAAGGCGGCCGCCAGTTGACTGGAAACCAGTCAAGCGGAGCCATCTTAAAAGTGACCAATCTTCTGCAATGTGAGACTTAAGTAATTCCATAATTACTCTTGTTACTATAACTACCATCATTAACACCTTTTTGGCTAAGGGCCCTCTCCTCATGCCACTCGACCGTCAGCCAGGTAATGCGGCACATTGTTCTGGACTTGAACAACTCTGGGATGAGGACGTACTCGGCCCCTTCCTGTCACACTTGATTCTGAGAGTTGCCGAAGAAAAGTGGGGGCAGGAACCTGTAGGAATCCGAAAGAAGACATCTCCCAGGCTGGGAGTGGCACAACTCTTGGAAACTATCGCAAAAATCTGGTTGGAAGCTGAGAAACCATAGATCTACTCCAGGCCAGGCACCACCAAAAGTGCTGCTGGAAAGTGTGCTTGGGGCTTCTTGACTTTGTTGATAGCATCTACGTAACCTGCTTCTCAACCTTGGCCCCATGGAATCACTCAGCAACTTCTTCAAGAAGCCGTGCTGTTCCTCTGCACGCGTTTTGATAGGAGCAATTATCCCAATCATCTTCTTGCTTGTCCCGGGAAATTTGAATAGGGGAGGAACTGAAAAACAAAAACAAGCGGCGATGTCGATTTTGAGCAGGATGTCGTTGAACTTCGAATGTAGACCCATATCCGTGATCCAGCGCGTGAAATTCCAGGCTTCTGTAGTGTAGGACACACGGGCTTTGTGTGCATAGTTTGCATCATGCTGCATAACCTGGGCGCCGGTCGTTGAAAAAAAAAGTCATTCTGAGCAAGAATGATGCAGTTCAAAATGCCTATTTGCATCTGGGTACGCTTTGAACTCCTAATCCAGAACCTAGAACTCGCAACCAGTCTCGTGAAGAGCCTATCCTTGATTTTTACTTCTGGTGTTTGCACCATTCCACCTACAGCAGCAGACCAAAAGACTGCTGTGACCACTACATAACAAAAACGAAGGATAAATGGCAGGGCACCCACCTGGCAACCCTGAAAAAATTACACACATGATCCATTGCCATGGAGAAGCGCTGGAGGTTCCCAATGGGTTGCGACCCTTCACGCTTCTTGCGTTGCAAGGGTGGGCCTCCCGAAACTCATCGTCAGTTAACTTCTCATCGTCTCGCGGATCCATATACCTCAGTGAGTCATTCACATGAAAAGATTACACAGGAGCACTCCTAAGAACAACAAGTTCACCAAGACCAAGCCAAAGCTTGGACACCGGCAGCTTGATTGCAACCTAGGGCGCATGGTCATGTTCTCATCCCTTACCCACGCCGGGTGCGGAATGACCTCACTCTGAAGAGAGGGTGAAACACGGTCGACCATACATGTAGCAACAGCCCAAGAAGGCCACCAAGCTCGAATCCTGCTAGCAACCCTAGGTAAACATCACTGTGCGCATTGGAATCATTTGAAAAGGCTGCAACCTCCGCAAAGGGCAGCTAAGAGAGTCAGAAAAGCAACAGAGAGAGTGTCCGATAGTGCTTTTGCAAAGTCGCAGTCACCCGCCGGTCCCGCGACTGGAGGTCCTTCAGATATGCACGGACCTTGGCAACGACTGGTGGGACGAGTCTTGATAACAGCTTGGACACGTTCCCGTGTTGTGTGAGACTTCATCCAGCCCCGGCGAGGATACCAGTAGCTTCACCCACCAAGATGTGAGCTTGAGAACCATGAAGCCAGCCTCCAAGACATAGGATCTTAAGCTCTTGCGGAAATAGCGGCCTTCTTGGAACGACCTTCCCAGAAACTCTGTAAAGGTACAGGAAGGCCTTTCTGAATCTGAAAACAATAAGAGGATTTCACGATGAGACTCCCTCGATATCTGACTTCGTTGATGTAGATGCCATGCCGAATGTTACGTGGTAAATTGACGCCTGCAATGCAAACCCCGTAAGATCATGCCCTCAAAACCCGGGATGAACATTCCGCTTGCTGCATCCATGCATCCCCCTTGCTTGTAGGTGCTAGGGTTACATGGCCACTTAAATGGCTTCATGTGGCACTGAAATGGGTTCATGTGGGGTCTGAAATGGGTCCATGTGACTGTCGTAGGATACCTCGACAATGCACCCCATTTCAGTGGCGGAC